TCAGTCTTGTTCAATCAAGCAATAAATACGTAACTATAGTTATTCGTAGTTAAAACACTTTTATTTGTTAACATTTTTGTCGACTATTGCATTAATGCTAAAAGGCCTCCACTTTCTGAAACAAAGCCTTCTGATATTTGGCAATAACATATATCGTATATAATGCGTTAAAAATTCCCTTTCTACATAGCGTACGCTGATGGCCTAAGGATGAGAGTCTCCGAATGATATCATATCAGCTGGGTGTTCGATACCGGCTTGAAGCAATCGCATGTCTACCACACTGAAGAGCTGGGATACATTATGTCTGTGGAAGTTTATATGAATCTCTAGCTTTCTAAAAATTCTAAAAATTACATGAGGATTTGTCTTAAATTCTATACAGTAAAGATGGGGGAATGTATAAATAACTTTCAACGTGAAGTAAGACTTATAAAGTATATATATATATGTTAAACGCTTTTTTTTTAAAGTCACTTATATTCATTCTTTTCTTTCATCACGAGAAAAGCGAGTTTTAGGGTGAAAAGTCATTATGATTTTTTTATTTAAGCAAACATGTATTTTTTACACATATATATTTATATATTCTTTATTGGATCTGATGAAACCTAGAAAGGCGAAACGCGTAATCAAATCTACATTCCCAATTGACAATAAATATTTATTCAATAAATAAAAGAAACGCCAATATGACGTCACTGCGTGTTCATCACCTCTTCCTCTGAAGGCAAAAAACATTTACGTTTTATTTCTGAGGATGACACTAGAATGGTCGACATTCCTAGAACCGGCTTAAACTATTGACAATTCTTTGAACCGTCTTGAACTGACAAATTTATGATAAGAGGAGAAAATAAATAAAAAGAATTCCTTTTTAAAGTTTTAAATTAAAAAACAGTGACCAAATGAAGAGAATATCTCTCTCTCTCTCTCTCTCTCTATATATATATATACGATATATATATATATATTACCTAATAATATTATTTGAAGTAATAATATATATATATACATTTATATATATATATTTAAATGAAGATAATATATATATATATATACGTTTGTTGGCGTTTTTGTACATGTGTTTAACGTTTGCAGTAATAAGAAATATGCAAGGTGCGATGGAAGAACTGCCGTCTAACATGAAAAAAATGAAAATAACACTGATATCTCCTTTTAATATATATATTTACCAAACATTTCACAAAAATATCTCGAAATAGGAAAGAGTAAATTTATTCAATAAAATCGCCATTGGCTTCAACGACGGCCTCCAGACAACTTGTGAATCTCCTGCAACCTATCTGGAAGATCTCCTTGTTTAAGTTGGGCAATGATGCCATAATCCTTGCCTTCTGTTCTTTAGAGTTACAACGAGTTTTGCTTGTATTTCGCTCAACACATAATAATCAAGGGAGTTGTAGTGTCGAAAGTAAGGTGTCCAAATATAAGAGGTGATGTGGTTGCAGAAATTGTCTGACAGACATACCTGGGTTCTCCTTCTTGTGTGGAACATGCCAGACACCGGGTTTCCAGTTGCCACCCCGGACAGCACTACCTCCACGAAGCATTTTATGTAGGCTCCCGTGTTGAGTTTGAGGCCGTCACCAGCAAATTCGAGAGTTCGTTTCTTATCAGAACGATCAGAGTGAGTTTTTCGAGCAAAAACCTTCGCAGTCATCATTAGACTCATCTAACTCTTTCCGGATCTTCTGAATTCAGACTGACACCGAAACACTCTGAAATGTTTGCATTGAAGCTTCCGTGGCGAATGCCAAGCAGTACAGGATGACGTTTCCAAATTTCTGGAGGAGTTAATAGTGTCGTGGTACTCTGTTTCTCATTGGCAATGCCCAATTGATCCTATTCTAGTGTACAGCCAACAAAATAAAAAAAAACAACGCTTAGGTGCGAAATTAAAATATAAAATAGCGACCATTTACCCATCGCTCATGTAAATCGCATCTTCCTTGTATTTCAAGTAAGTATTTATTCTCATATCTTATCAAATTCTTCAGTGTATTCTATAAAGCAAACAAAACATGAGTTGCCATCTTATCTTTTCACATTTATATTGGTCGCTCTAATCAGCGGAGTTGCATTTCTTGTTCCATTGTCTTGAACAAATCCACAAATAAGGATCTTTGAGAAGTAATAAATAAATAAAACAGTAGAGCAAAAATCCTCATATACGGAATCCCTAATATCCGTAGTCCCTGATATCCGTAATCCCTGATATCCGGATTCCCTCATATTCGGAGTACCTCTTATCCGGAATTCCGCATATCCAAATATGATTTTGATATGATATTTGAAATATTTGTGTGATTTGTAGCT